AAAAAAAAAAAAAAAAAGAACATTCCAAAATCGTTGCATTGAAGTGACCTGGATTCCAGAAATTTTTTCCAACAAAAGTTATCCAATGGTAAATGGTTATCATCTTATGTATGTTACTGCAACCCTTACAAATATCGAAATTACTATAAACCCTGTCACACATGGCCTGCTTCGACTCAGATTCAGATAAGTTGCATAGCGCACTATCAAACCACAAATCTGACAAAGAGCATGTAAAGAATGTGGAGCGTAGAATAAACATAACTTACCCCATGGGAACTCCTTATTGCGGATATGAAGGTACGGGTATGCCTGCACCAGCAAACCACAATTAAATCATAAACAAACAAATATAATTCCCTATCCAGATTCCAATTCTTGCTATTTTCTATATTCAAATCAAGGTTTTAAATAGCGGGCTAAAATGTTTATGGCACTGTAGCTGTAGCGGAGCTATAGCGGAGATTTAGCGGGATTTAGCGGCTAAATTGCACATGAATACAAATAGCGGCACGCTGCCAAAAAAAGCTATTTCTCAAATAGCGGCAACTTTAGCGAGCTATTTATTTCCTTGATTCAAATAGACATGTAAAGAACAAAGATCAACTAAGCAAGCAACAACATTATAATAGCACAATCGGAAGAACAATCTTACCGGAGGCTCATCATGGTGAGGATGGCCCTTGGAGAGGTTATAGATAGCGAGAGTAGTGCAAGATACTATTCCTGCATATGTTATCTTCTCCCACTTGGAAGCCTCAGCTACATAAAACAAGAAAACCCAAACATTAAAACAAACACAATTATAATTCCCAACTTAGTCCTCCCACAATCAAATCAGATCCCCAAGTGCAATTAAAACCCTAGGCATGTGAGAGCCATAGGAATATCCAGAAACAAATCGAAATTCAAACATATTCAGGATTAACGCAATTAAAACCCTAGGCAGGGGGGATGCCATCTCAACGTAACGTGAAATTTCGAACTCATTTTACAAATACATAATCCCATACCGGCTTCATCGTGGGGCGAGGCAGAGGAGGAGAAGGAGCGCTTGGGAGCTGGGGAGATGCGCGGTGCAGACGCGCCACCGCGTACGGCGGAGCGGAGGCCAGATCTCACAATCGCCGCTGCCATTTGGATTTTGTTTCACTCTCTTTTTCCGTTGTCGAGTCGATGGCAAAATGAGAGTATTCGACAAAATGTTCTAGCTTTTTATTATTAGAGAAATTCGATTCAGAAGACTTGGTAAAATGGGAAAATTACGTTTACCTCCCCTCGGTATTCATTATTGGCAAAGCTGTCTCTCGAAACATTTTGTATGTAGTTTGTTTGGAAAAATCTTTTGTTAATCAGACTGTATCCAATATTATCAATATAATTAAATAATATTAATTAATTATTCTTATACGTCATATCAATTTTAATTAACTATTCAACAATTCACATAAATTTAACTAATCATTATTTTTACATCATTCATCTCATACTTTTACATCAAATCAACTGTAATTATTATTTTTTTAAAGCAGTTACCCTCAACTGAATCTTTACCCCAAGCCAAGTTCACAACCATGCAACAACCAACTCTATTAGTAAAAGAAAGAAGACAGAAATGACCAACCTAATATCAAACAACTCAAACAACCAAACTCAACAACAAAAACAACAAAAAACAAGGGGAAAAACAAAACAACACCAGAAACACAAGAAGAGACCTAACACCTATTGTCCTGCAGAAATGCCTCCCAATTCAAGATTACTGCTCTAATGACAATTGGTGCAGGCCTCTTGATTTTCTCAAACGCCCGAAGATTGCGAGATTTCCACAGCCACCATAGTATATATGTTAAAAATTGAATCCTGGCTTCAGAAACCTCTCATTTGTCCAACTGACAAATCTGCCACCACCAAGATTTAATGATTCATCCCCCTGAGGACCAACCCAGCTAAGGGGAGCCAGCTTCCAGACTGAGATAGCATACCTGCAATGAAACAACACATGAACAATAAACTCCCTTTCTTCTCCACACGTCCTGCATATAAGGTCCACCTCAACCCCTTTGTCTATCAGTTGCAAATTAACAGACAAGGATTCCTTGCAACACTTCCAGATGAAGTGTTTAACTTTCCCAATAACATTAGGACTCTAGGTTCTTGGTCTAACTTTCATATCAGCTACCAAATTCTTACTACCTTGGGCCTTACCCTATTGAAGAAATTTCTCTATAATGAGCTTTGAGTATGTGGACTGAACAGAGAACATCCCTTTCCTATGTAGTGACCACACCCATCTATCCTCCATGTCAGGATCATTGGACTAAATGCTCAAAACTGATCTGCAGAACTGAATGGTGAATGTTGCTCTGACTTTAGACTAATCCGAACCTCTGCCATCACTGGTCTTCAAGTCTCTAACCCTTCCAATGCCACTATCAATGCTAGGGAGCAGTTCCACCTCTTTGCCTATAAAATCAGGTATCCAGTGCTTCTCCCAAACTCTGATATTATGACCATTTTTTGCCTCAACCCTTATCCAATTCTCACACACCTTCAAGACTGAAAATCAGCTGCTCCACAACCATGATGCATTTTGTTTCTTTTGAGCTCCAAACAAAAATGTGTTAGGGAAATATTTGGACTTAAGCACTTTACAGACTAACCTGTCTGTCTGTCACCACTTTCCAAACCTGTTTAGAAATCATTGCAATGTTGAACAACTGAATATCTTGAAATCCAAGCCTTTCATGTTTCTTGGCTAGTGTCAATTTGTTCCAATCAACCCACTGCAATCCTTTTTGAAAATCAGACCATTTGCTCCACCAAAATTGCCCATAAACTCCAGAAATTTCTTTACACAGACTTGGAGGAAATAAAAAACAAGACATAGAAAAGATAGGTAATGCATTGAGCACTGTCAAATCAATACCTCATTTCCTGCAGTTGACAACCATTTGTTCTTCCAACTAAATATTCTACTCCTTACCAAAGTCAAAATGTACTCAAAAGCTTCTTTCTTGGACTTCCCAATCCCCAGTGGAAGCTGTAAGTATCTGGTATATGAGTGTGTATTGTAAGTATTTTTACCGGAGTTAAATCAAAGGATTCAAACACCGGGTCGTCTCTCAAGGAAGGTTAGCCGGATTTAACTTGCGCGAATATTCAATGAAAAAAAAAAAAGAAAATAATCCTAACCCTCTAGTCAAATTGATTTGGAGTAATTTATCAACTACGAATTGTAAAAACAATGCTAGCTATTCAAAACTCACAACTCTGAACACAAATTCAAATAGTAATAAAGGAGGCTAGGGTATCGGGGATTTCGCTTCAGGTTCTCAATACATTTAGCGGGCAATTAATTGCTCAACTAAAGGACTCGAAAAACTAACTCATCCACATATTCATTCTCAATATCTCACGAAACAAGAGAATAAACATAAACGAACCATAAACGAATCAATTAGTATATAAACAATACATTACCGAACAAGCCTATTCTTAACGAGCCTAGATCGAACGATTTTTCCTCTTTCAATTTCAAAATCAATTAATTAGACTAAGATGGTGATCAAGCATCTAAACCCTAGGTTAAGCACAACTCGAAAATATATGCAATTGTCAAGCATATAAACAGAATCGAACTGGAACAATAATCCCCTAACCCTAGCTAACGAATTTAGCTACTCATAGCGATATCAACATAAACATTCTCAATTAAACAAGTCATCACATTCATATTCAAATGAAAATAAGAACTTACGATTAAAAGGAATCCAATGTTGAAAAACAACGAGCAATCCGAATCCAAAAGTCGAATCTTGAAGTTTTCACTATCCAATATCGAAATCCCATGAAAAACTAAGATAAAAACGTTCTAAGAGTCGAAGTACGAGCAAGATATTCAAAACCTAGGTAAAAACATAATGAAAAACGATTACAAAATATGAACTTAAAATTCTGCACGTCGTGGCCTCCGCGGCCGTGGGACATCTCGCGGGCCGCGGCGAAGAGCCTCTGCGGCCGCGACCAACTCTCGAGGCCACGAGTTCCCGGAGCTGAAAGTTGGGTCTTTTGGGACTTTTGTTCGCCGCGGCCGCGGTGAAGGAAATGTCGCGGGCCGCGGCGACTAAAACTGGGCGCTCGTAGATTTGTTCCCCGCGGCCGTGGAAGCATCGTCGCGGCCCGCGGTGAAGAATTTTTTTGGCAAGATGACGGTTATCGGGCTCGTATGCACGCATCCGGACTCAAAATTTACTTTCGTCTTTTTCTCCTCGACTCGACTCCAACCTCCTAGATAATACTCCCCGCACGACCACTTTCCAACTGAGCCACCTAACATGCACATCACCACGGACAAGAAAAGTGCAAAAAAAGGGAAAAAAATGCACAAGAAAACCAAAAACGAACAAAATAGGGAAAAACACGAAAAGACACGACATGGACTAAGAACAAAAGAAAATGACCTAAGATGAGGCAAAATAAACATAAAATAAACAAGAAAAACATGACAAAAATAGAACGAACAATTTGTTTGAATCCCAGGCAATAAGGAACAGATTCTATGTTTGAGCTCCTTTGTTGTATTTTTGCTAAAGAAAATTGTGGAGTTCTCCATACTCACTTGTTGTCCTCTGAAATCCTGGAAATGTTGAAGGACACACAGTAGCTTCCTGATTTGGTTCTCATTAGCTCTACAAAGGCTAGAGTGTCATCTGCAAAGGCTAGAGTGTCATCTGCAAACATCAAATGAGTGAGTAGAGGCCCACCCCTAGATAACCTCAGCCCTTTGAAACTTCCTCTCTCAGCTTCCACTTGAATCCTAGCAGATAGTAACTCAGAGATAACAAGAAATAGATTTGGAGATAGAGGATCTCCGTGTTTAATCCCCCTAGAAGCAGATACATATCCACCACACTTGCCATTGATGTTAAAAGAACAAGTGGGAAGTTGAATACAAGCCATAATCCATTTGACAAACTTTCTATGAAAATCCATTCTAACCATAGTCAACTGAAGAGCTTTCCACTTAACACAATGATAAACTTTCAAAATATTCAATTTCAGAGCCATAAATCAATTCTTACCACTCCTATGTCTGTTCAGAAAAAGGAACATTTCATGCCCAATAACCACATTATCTATCAATTGTCTACTAGGAAAAAATACATTTTGGTTATAGAAATACAAACATGCAAGCATTGTCTCAACCTCAAAGCTAAAATTTTAGAAATAACTTTATAGAATACTGCACAAAGACTTATAGGTCTGAATTGAGCAATAGACACCGGATTTAAGCACTTACGAACCATGTTTTAAATACCGTACCGTACGGGTCGGTAATACCGGTAATACTGGATACTGGTCATTGGTACGATATAAATACACTCAAAATACCAGATTTACGGTTATACCGGTTTGTACCGGGATCATACCGTAAAAACCGCAAAATACTGGTTAATTAAAAAAAATTAATTAATTTTAAAAAAATAAAATTTAAATTGGTAGTTAAAATATTTTATTTTATCTCATTGAAAAGTTAAAAATGATTATGGTCATTTATTTTTTTTACTTTAATGCATTTGGTATTAAATATTTGTATGTATATTTATATTTATTATTATATTTGCTAATCCGGTAATACCACCGATATTACCGGTCCGACCGGTAATACCGCGTATCGGTGGCTAGACCGTATGACCACCCGGTACGGTATTTAAAACACTGCTTAGGAATAAAAGTGATAAAGGAGTGTTTCCAATACCTCAAAATTTTGATCATTGCATTTTACCTCATATCCATTCAATAGCTCAAAATAAATCGATTTCTTTTACCTTATAATTTTTTTCCACTCTACAACTCACTTTTTTAAATCTATCAAAATTAGTACAAAAAAAAAAAAGTTTATCCAATCAATCAAAATTGATATTCTTTCCACTTTTTAATTCACTTTATCCAATCACCAAAAAAAAAAAAAAAAAGAGAGAGAGGTATATATATTTCCAACTGAATTTTAATTTTTTTTATGATTAGTTTGAAAATTATACAATTTCAAACTTTTAATATGTTTGTAAAATAATGTTGTAGTTATTAAGTAGACATTAGTGTCGTCAAATAACAAAAGGTTTATTACTAATTAAGTGCTTTAGTGCATAATAGTACAATACTATGTACTATACGGGGTTGAATTAAGAAATATATGATAAAAGTCATTAATAAAATATTTTTTTTATTTAAAAAATTTAATGGACTAATTGATGAAAAAAATAGACAGTGATTTGTAAATAGTAATTTATGAAAGAAATATGAGAAAAAATTATAATACGATAAGAATGCTAATGTGTACTAAAAGAAAAAATAACAAAATTAAATATACATTTTACCAAGTTAAAGAGTATGCTTGGATACGAAACTTATTCAAAAAATCCAAACATTTTTAACTCAATCTTTTTTTTGGTACAAATTTTTAACTCAACCTTAACCCAACACAACTATCATTAATATTATTAATATAATTAAATAATATTAACCAATCATTTATACACATCATATCAACTTCAATTCACTATTCGTCCATTCACATAATTTTAACTAACCATCACTTCAAATCATTTCTCTCATACTTTTATATCAAATCAAATTTAATTATTATATTCTATATATTATTTTAATATACCCACTAACAACTAACCATACCACATTTTTAAAATTAACCAAACCAAACCAAAAAATCTAAGACAAATCCAAAAATTTAAAAAATTATTCATGTCTAATACTAAGGGAAAAATTCAAAACTAGTCTCACAGGTATAGGGGGTGACAATTTTGGTCCCAACGGAATGTAAATAAAATAAATTAGTCCCACAACTTGTAAAAAATGATCAAAAGTAGGACTTTATGCCGGATTTTACTGTTTCCGGCTCGGAATGCCACGTGGCGCACACGTGGCATATTTTGTTGCATATTTTAAGCATACGTGTGGGACAAAAAATATCACCTTCCTATACTTGTGGGACCAAAAATGTCACCTCCCTATACCTGTGAACTAGTTTTGATTTTTTTCATATCCACGTCGAATGCCAGCGTGTAAAAAATATATGCCACGTGTGCGCCACGTGGCATTCCGGGCCGAAAACAGTAAAATCTGGCAAAAAGTCTTACTTTTGATTTTTTTTTTAAAGTTGTGGGACTATTTATATATTTTGCATTCCGTTGGGACAGAAAATGTCACCCCCTATATCTGTGGGACTAGTTTTAAATTTTTCCCTTAATACTAAACCTAACTCCAGAGTAAAAATAAATATATAAACAATATTACAAAGCATAAATTTTCGCTATGTCACCATTCAAAACGTCAAAGTTTATCAATTAGGCTGAACACGTTTTAAAGTAATATATAAGAAGTGGACCATGACAATAACCAAATTTGGGTTTCCACTATCAGTGCCTATCTATTCTATAACTATCCTCTCTTCTCTCTTTCTTCGTCGTCTGCTTTTCCCAGCGCTTCCTCAACATCCTCACTGCTCCACCCCGCACCCAGCAATCTCATCCTCAGCCTCTCCACGTGTCCCACGCCCATTGGCTCTCCCCCATCTCGACGGAGCCCATCATCGCAGCCGTCCATCGTCATCATCTCTCTGATCTCCTCCTCTCTCCACCCCCCACCCCTCAACCTCCCACACACCTTCTCCAGACAACCTCCCAAATCCCCACTCCACCACCCGCGCGTGCCCCGAAGCGCCTCACCCTCCTCCGCCGCCAAATCCGTCCAGAACTCCACTCTCCGAGCCTCCTTCGCCGCCCACGCAGGCACCGCCAGCGAACTACTCACCCTCCGCTGCCCCGAATCCTGCTCCCCGACGCCAACCCGGAGCTCCACCTGCTGGAAAAATCCGGATATGTCGAAGCTCCAAAGCCTCACGTCCCCGCCATGCACGTAGAACACGGGGTTCCCCGCGGCGGAGGGCGCCGCCGGGATGTAGAAGCGGCGGTAGATCGGCACCAGAATTGGGGATTTCTTCAGGATATCTCGCGCCAAATTCACTGCCCGGTCGGCGCCCTCGGGCCTGTCTCCCCACGACCCGATCCAGAGTCCGTTTCTCGACACTTCCTTGCAGATCCCCATAATCGGCAGGTTGATTGCGATCTCGAGCTGCTGCTTGGACGAGGACCGCCAGTTGGGGAAACCCGGCCCGACCGGTAGGCCTTCCTGGAGGATGGACCGGAGGTCCGGAGGGAAGGCGAAACGGAACGCCGTCTCGACGGCGGTGACCTCCGCGTCGGATAGGCCGGGCTCCACCGGGACATTGGAGCTGATTAGATAATCGATCAGATTCTTCGTGTAGGCTGCGTACGAGAAGCAGACTCTTCGTGGTTTTGTGCCGGCGAGCGTCATCGGCGCGGTAATGTGGCGTTTCCTCGGTGGCTCCACCACCGCCGTCGCCATTTATAGGTAAAATATACAGAGACGTGCGCGTATAGGTGATTGGATTCAGGGGGTGAATGAGAGAGAGAGTTGAGAAGAGTGGATTTTGTCAAATATTTTAAGGGCGTGTTTGGCGGGGTGAGTAACTTCTCAACTGAAAAGGAAGAAAATTTCTTCGCGAGAGTCTATTTTCAAGGCGGCGTTTGACTCGCTCTTTCAGCCTGCCGTGTGGAGGACTCTGTTGAGTCTAACAAATGCTATATGAAATGGGGACGGAACCATTATGATGAAGTTTTTAACCGTTAAATCATCATGTAATTGTCGGGATAGTTGATTTAATAGTTACAAATTTCAACGGAATGATTTCGTAACATGAGCGTAGTGAAATGATTATGCAATTCAATTATGAGCGCTCGCTTCATTATTTCAAATTTCATAAAACATATATATGTGTATTGTGTTTTTTGTTTTATTTGTATATTGTTTATTTCAAATTTCATAAAACATATATATGTGTATTGTGTTTTTTGTTTTATTTGTGTACTAAACAGTAGTAGTGTGGGGTAAAGTCTTAGATTTTTTTTTAATACTCATGTATGAGGTAATACCCGACCGTAGCATATCCTTATTAAATGATTATGCAATTCAGTTGCGACCGTAGCATATCCTTACACTACAAGAAAAACTGCATTTGGCGACGCTTATTAATGACGCTTGTTGGCGAGTTGTGTTGCTAAATTTGATGTCAGAAAAAAATAAGCGTCAGTATACAAAAAAATAAGCGTCGCCAAATGCAGTTTTTCTTGTAGTGTTATGAAATGGTTATTGTTAGCCATATAAAAGCAACCACGTCACCATGCATGGCCATGTCACAACAAAACTCCAAACAAAATGCCATGCATGAAGAGAGAGAAAGGAGAACACCACTTTAGTTTACTTTTCATTTAATATCTCTTGTTTTCTAGTGTGTCCATCTAGGTTTGCCATGTGTCCATTATCTAGATGCTTCCTTTACCCTAGATGTATTTAATCTTAACATGTTAGCTGTGGGAGACGAGGTAGCCGCATTTTGTACTGCACATTTATGAAAATCAAGATCTGAAACTACAACATGAATAGAACATTGAAAATGCAAGCTCGATTTCCCAAATCCTTTCATGGTATCAGAGCTGCAGGTTGAATCAACCTGTGGTCTCTGATCCATCTTCTCCCTTCTTTTATTTTTCTGCTTCCACCTCTATCTCAATCCATGGCTGGACCAGAATCTACCATCATTCAACTACAAGCTCAAGTAGTGACAGTTAAGTTATCTGAGAACAATTTCTTGGTATGGAGACAACAGATTCAAGCAGCAATCAAAGGATACGGTCTAGAAGGCCACATCTCAGGTGCAGAACCACCACCAGAAACAATCACAGATGCAAATGGTAATGAGGTACTAAACCCAGCTCATTCTTTATGGATCAGACAGGACCAGCTTATTGTTTCATGGCTTTTATCTTCTCTCTCTGAAAATGTCCTCATCACCACGGTTGGTCTGGAATCTGCCTTTGAGATCTGGGATAGTTTAGAGACATCTTTTGCCAGTCAGTCAAGAGCTAAGATTATGCAATACAAGCTTCAGCTACAAAATCTCAAAAAGGGAGGCATGAGCATGATGGAGTATTTGAACAAGATGAAAGCTTGTTGTGATGGTCTAGCTGCTGCAGGACAAAGACTCAGTGAAGAAGAGCAGATAACCCACATATTAGCTGGGTTAGGAAGTGAGTATAATCCTGTTATGGTCTCTATTGGTGCAAGAATTGAACCCTGCAGGCTGAGAGAACTACATGCTCTCCTTTTAAGTTTTGAAAGTAGACTAGAAACGTTTGAAATACCTCAGTTGGGAGTAGATGGATCTAGCCCCATGGTGAACTTCACTACAACAAATCAAGCTGGAAAAAGAGGGGGCTTCAACAATTTCAGAGGAAGAGCTGCTGGCAACAACTTCAACTCAAGAGGTGGAAGAGGTGGTAGACAAGGCCCTTTCAGAGGTAGAGGTGGCAGATTCAACTCTAGACCAAGATGTCAAATTTGCCATTTGATGAATCATACTGCAGATAAATGCTGGTATAGAATGGACATGAACTATGTCCCTGAAAACAGAAACAACTTCAACCAAGGGAGCAGTTATGGAACCTCACAGGGACATTCCTCATATTCATCTCAAAACAAGACAGCAAATGTGGCCAGCATGCCAGCCTTTGATCAAAACCAAGACACATTTTGGTTTCCTGACTCAGGTGCTACAAACCACCTCACTTATGACATGGAAAACTTGAGCATGGCCTCTGAATACACTGGTGGAGAAAAGGTTCACATGGGAAATGGATCAGGTTTAAGCATATCTCATATTGGTAGCTCTATGATTAAATCCTGCAATTCTGATAAAAAACACCTTCTCCTAAAAAATCTCCTATATGTCCCTCAAATTGCTAAAAATCTAATCAGTGTTTGCCAGTTCACAAAAGATAATGATGTCTATTTTGAGTTCCATCCTGACTTTTGTTTGGTTAAGGATCAGGTAACAAGAGCAACACTACTCCAAGGGATTGTTAAGGATGGCTTGTACTGTTTTAATTTGTCAACTCTCAATGGTGATCACTTGCAGCCCTCAGATCCTACTATCAAAAGCTTCAATCCTTCCTTTTGTCCAACAGCCTGTTCTGCTGGTATCCCAAACAAATGTGATTTAAGCACTTGGCACTCTAGATTAGGCCATGCTGCCATGGAAACTGTAAAGAGAGCTTTAAACTCTTGTCACATTGCTTTTAATACCAATGAAAATGTTGCTCTTTGTTCTTCCTGTCTTAAGGCTAAAAGCCATATATTGCCTTTTACTGATTCTACTACTATGCATGCTGCACCTTTTGAGTTAGTATACACTGATCTTTGGGGGCCTGCCCCCATTAAATCTCACTGTGGCTACACTTATTATATTAGTTTTGTTGATCATCACACTAGACACACATGGATGTACCTGCTTAAATCCAAAACTGATGTAGTTGCTGTTTTTCATCACTTCAACAAAATGATCCTCACTCAATTCAATAAGCAAATCAAATGTGTCCAAAGTGATGGTGGCACAGAATTCAAACCCCTTTCTACCTTTTTTCAGCAACATGGAATTTTACACAGACTTTCTTGCCCCTACACACCCCAACAAAATGGCCTTGTTGAAAGAAAACATAGGCACATAGTTGAAACTGGAATTTCTCTCTTAGCTAATGCATGTATGCCTTATGCTTACTGGGACCATGCCTTCACTGCTGCAGTCCACATCATCAACAAGCTTCCTACCAAGGTCCTTAAGTTCATGTCACCATTTGAGAAGTTGACAAATACTAAGCCTGACTATAACTACCTCAGAGTATTTGGTTGCTTATGTTATCCATTCACAAGACCCCTCAACAAACATAAGTTAGAGCATAGATCTCAACCCAGTACATTTCTTGGATATAGCCCCTCTCACAAAGGCTATAAAATACTCCTTCCTAACAAAAAGATCATCATATCCAGACATGTAGTTTTTGATGAAACTATATTTCCCTTCTCACAAACTCCTCACATACTTGAATCACCAAATCTCAGTCCTCATTTTTCCACACTCCTCTCCCCCCAAGAGCCATTTCATCAAACACCAACCACAAATAATTCCCTCCCACCTTCCCCACAACACCAACCACAGCCTTCTCCTCATCATCCAATACAATCTCCTCACCACTCATCTCAACCATCTCACTCTACACATCACTCAAGTTCTACACCATCCTCTCACTCTCCTATACAGATTCAGAATGGCAGACTAGTCATTGATCTACCAATTGGGAATGCTTCACCATCTAGCACTCAGCCTGGGACACACACCACAGCACCTACAGATCCTCCCAACAGACACCCAATGACAACAAGGTCAAGAGCTGGTATCTTTAAAAAGAAATTTTTTCTCACAGAAGTACCCACTGAACCATGCTCTCACCTAGAAGCTCTTAGCCTCCCTAATTGGAAACTAGCCATGGATAGAGAAATCCAGGCTCTTCACAAGAACCATACATGGGAACTTGCCACTCTTCCACCCAATGTTAAACCAGTGGGATGCAAATGGGTTTTTAAACTCAAAACCAACAGTGATGGTTCCATCTCTAAGCACAAGGCCAGACTTGTGGCCAAGGGGTATTCTCAACTTCATGGTGTTGATTTCTCTGAAACATATAGTCCAGTCATTAAACCTGCCACAATCAGAGTGATTCTTTCTTTGGCAACTCAGTATTCATGGCCAATAAAGCAGTTAGACATTGATAATGCATTTCTCTATGGCAACATTGACAGAGACATCTTCATGGAGCAACCACCTGGTTATGAGCAGCACTCTACTTCAGGTGAGAAACTCTTTTGCAAGCTCCATAAATCTCCTTATGGATTAAAGCAGGCCAGTAGATTTTGGAACAACAAACTTGCTTCCACTCTCCATTCTCTTGGCTATATAACTTCAAAATCAGATAACTCTTTGTTCTTCAAGCACTTTGGTACACACAACATTTTTATTTTAGTTTATGTTGATGACATTCTGATCACTGGCTCCTGCCCACTGACTATCCAAAGAACAATCAAAGACCTTAGCTCTACCTTCTCTCTCAAAGACTTGGGTGACATCAACTACTTTCTTGGCATTGAATTCTCATCATCATCTTCTGGCTTACAACCCAGTCAAACAAAGTATATTTCTGCACTCTTACAGAAACTTCAAATGTCTCATGCCAAAGGAACACCTTCTCCCATGATCAGTCATCCCCATTTATCTAAGTTTGAGGGCCAGCCTGTTGAAAACCCAACTCTATATAGAAGCATTATTGGTGCTCTCCAATATGCTACTATAACTAGGCCTGACATTGCCTACTGCACAAACAAGCTCAGTCAGTACATGCAAAACCCTCTCACACCTCATTGGAAAGCCCTCAAACGGGTTCTTCGATACTTAGCAG